CTCTGAGATAAGGAAGAGATCAATTCTTGAGTTTGATCTGCCCCTTGCTCCGTTTGATCTCACACATGTGTATGCTTTTTTTGTGTCTGGTAGGCATCCTTGAGTTGTAAGGTAGCCATGAAACGGGATAGCATGTCCACGTCTGGTGCCCATCCGTCTCGAGGGGCCTGTTGTGAGGACCTTCTATCTAGAAGCGGGTTAGGGGTAATGTTGAAATCCCCAGCGACAATTAGGGGCAGGTCAGCAGGCAGTTGCTGGTATAGTTGATGAAGGAAGTGTGACCTTTCTAGTGGATCATTAGGGCCGTAGACACTCACAATAGCAATTTCATCATCCCCTAACATGGTTTTTACATATACCCACCTTCCCTCTTGTTGGTCGTACTCGTGGGCTACAGGTTTGACCCGAGACGAGTGGGGGATCCATATTGCCACACCTGTGGACGCACCTGATCTTGCTGGGGCTGAGAAGATAGTGTATGGCCAGACCCATTTCTCTTTCACTTTGTGTGCCGGTGAATTAGTGAGATGAGTCTCTTGGACGCATATTGCGTCCGACCAAGTGCCCAATCCCTCTGTTTTTTACATTGTCCAAATGACCTCTTTTTTTTCCGGCGAGGCCTGTGCCAGTCCATTTAGATTGAGAGCTCTGATATCCAGGTCTGCAAGGGTAATTTTTCTTGCCCAATCCGGTGGTCGTCTCACCGCGGGTGGGATGTGTGGATCAAGGGGGGCTTGTGAGGGAGGCTGTGGAGGAAAGGTTGGTATATCACGCAGTCCATATGTGGGCTCATATTCATGTTCATATTAGTGTTCTTACAGTTATGTGTCCCCCACCTTCTTACTTGTTTACTAGATGTAGGTGAGTGCTTGTCGGTGTTGTTTCCCCTTGGATGATGTGTGATGTCATTGCAATCTGAATACGCTGATTCTGTGTGACAATATCTCCCAGGTCCTCCTCCGTCCCGTCTTCTGACTGATCCTCCTGCTCCTCCTGCTTTTCGGTGTCAGATTCTCCATCTGTTAGCAGATCTATGACCTGAACGGTCGTTGAGGGTGGCTTCGACAGTCCGTTTGCTGCAGTAGGGGCGAGCAAGCTTGTCGGTATCATCTGAAGAATGAGGGGCTGGGCGTGCTGCAGTTCTAAGTGCGGCGGCTGTTGTCCTTGAGTTGTGTGTGGGATGAGATTACTCACCAATGTGTCGATGCGGCTGCCCCCCATCTCTTGTTTCCTCTCAGATGTTCTTTCCAGTGTGCACGTCGCCATTTGCCCTTGTCTCTGCAGTTGTTGTCCTGCCCTGTTAGTGTTGACAGTATGTTGTGAATGATCTGTTGTAACTTTATTGTTGAGATCCGTCAATAATGATATGGCAATGAGTATGAGGGTTTTTGCCACCATCCCCCAGCCAACCTCTTCCATTGTACTAAACTGGTTGACCACTTGCTTGACCTCTTGTTTGGTCAGTACTATTCTTCGAATTTTTTCCCATTGCAGCGGAGAGACAATCTCGCTCAGGGATCGTCCCCCTGGGGCCAGCGCATTCTGTAAAATCCAGTCCGTCAGTTCCTTTAGATGAGTCCTCACCTTCTTGTCTCTTATCAGTGGTTTGTGTTGCGGGGCTGATTCCATTTCCTGATCCATGGACGGATGGACTCCTATCGCCCTATCTGCCCTGTGGGTGGATTGGGGGCAGACTTCTTGGGACTTCAGCGGTACACCCTGAGGTGTTGGCTCCATTTCTTGGTCCATGTTTGGGTGTATGCCTTCTGAAGGGTAAGGAGATTCTGAACTGTGATTTGGCTGTACCGGGGACATGTCGTGGTCCCTCTCCGGGTGGATTCCTCCTTGGTGATCAGGCGGCCAGCTATCGACGTATAGAGTATTTCCACCGTGGTCTTGTACTGTGGGGTGGACGTATGGTTGGGTGCAGGAGAGATCGTAGTATGGCGAGAGTCGATTTTGTTGCTGTGCCAGCATATCGTATGCATGGTAATTTTGCGTTTGTGCCTGCCAGACCTGTTTTTCCTGTGTTTGTTGTTGGCTGTCCTGCGAGTCAATGAGTCCGAGTACTGCCTTCTGGGCCTGGCTGTTTTGTTGGAGCAGAAGGAGGTGTTGTAGATTGAGTCCGTGGTGGTCCAGCTGCTCGACGGAGGCCTATAAGTGGTCAACCAGTTTAGTACAATGGAAGAGGTTGACTGGGGGATGGTGACAAAAACCCTCATACTCACTGCCACATCATTATTGACGGATCTCAACAATAAAGTTACAACAGATCATTCACATCATACTGTCAACACTAACAGGGCAGGACAGCAACTGCAGAGACAAGGGCAAATGGCGACGTGCACACTGGAAAGAACATCTGAGAGGAAACAAGAGATGGGGGGCAGTCGCATCGACGCATTGGGGAGTAATCTTATCCCACACACAACTCAAGGACAACAGCCGCCGCACTTAAAACTGCAGCACGCCCAGCCCCTCATTCTTCAGATGATACCGACAAGCTTGCTTGCCCCTACTGCAGCAAACGGACTGTCGAAGCCACCCTCAACGGCCGTTCAGGTCATAGATCTGCTAACAGATGGAGAATCTGACACCGAAAAGTAGGAGGAGCAGGAGGATCAGTCAGAAGACGGGACGGAGGAGGACCTGGGAGATATTGTCACACAGAATCAGCGTATTCAGATTGCAATGATATCACACATCATCCAAGGAGAAACGACACCGACAAGCACTCACCTACATCTAGTGAACAAGTAAGAAGGTGGGGGACACATAACAGTAAGAAAACTAATATGAACATGAATATGAGCCCACATATGGACTGCGTGATATACCAACCTCCACCTCCACAGCCTCCCCCTGTGAGACGACCACCGGATTGGGCAAGAAAAATTGCCCTTGCAGACCTGGATATCAGAGCTCTCAATCTAAATGGACTGGCACAGGCCTCGCCGGAAAAGAAAGAGGCCATTTGGACAATGTTAAAAACAAAGGGATTGGGCACTTGGCCGGACGCAATATGCGTCCAAGAGACCCATCTCACTAATTCACCGGCACACAAAGTGAAAGAGAAATGGGTCTGGCCATACACTATCTTCTCAGCCTCAGCAAGATCAGGTGCATCCACAGGTGTGGCAATATGGATCCCCCACTCGTCTCGGGTCAAACTTGTAGCCCACGAGTACGACCAACAAGAGGGAAGGTGGGTATATGTAAAAGCCATGTTAGGGGATGATGAAATTGCTATTGTGAGTGTCTATGGCCCTAATGATCCACTAGAAAGGTCACACTTCCTTCATCAACTATACCAGCAACTGCCTGCTGACCTGCCCCTAATTGTCGCTGGGGATTTCAACATTACCCCTAAGACCTGTTTCTTTCTGGAAACAAAAGTCTTAGAAAATAATTCGATGTTTGGTGGGCAGCTCTCGTAAGAAAAGGGAAAAGAAAAACAGGAAAAGGGATGGATTTTTATGCATCGTGCTGTGAGCAGGTCAAGACTGTGTCCTTTCTGTTTTGTGACGTATACGGGTGTGCTGTGTGACCAGGAAGTTAACTTCTGCTTGTTGGTTTTATGCCTTCTTCTAAGTTTTCTTCTTCTATGTTTTCTTCCCTAGTCTGTGGAGCCACTCTCCTGTAGTTTTTTTTTTTTTTTGGTAATAATTTTGTAGAAGGCATTATAAATAGGATCTCACATAGAAATGCATACGCTCTGCAGCCCTGTGTAGGGTTGCACTAGAGGATACATGATGAATAGGATCTCACCGAGTCTGTAGATGTGAGTTTTAGTATGACTTAGGGACACTGAATTTGTCTGTGTTTTTGTGTTGAGTTTGCTGATTTTTTGAGTTTTCAGTTTTCATTGCTGACTGTGACCAGCGTTAACGGTAGGCCTTTGTGAGGGACGTAGGATTGAATACTGATAGATTAGGGATAACTCACACATTAGATTAGGGTTAATGGAACAGGATATGTGCCTGGGTGTGTTGAACCTTTTCTATGATGTGAGGGATGCCGGACCCGTTTTTCGGCTTTTATAATTCTAAAGCAGCCGTCATATGAATCAGGCCGGAGTGCCTGGATCATATGACATTTGGCTGCCATTGTTAAAAAAAAAAAAGAAAAAAAAAAAGGAAGTGCCGTATAATTGCAAATTGGCGCACATATAATTTGCCACTGTACATGCTAGTGTGAGTATGCCCTGAGATACGCCCGCCCGTCCGTGTCCCCTCCTTTTTTTTTAATTAAAAAAGAAACTATATTCTTCTCTCAATTTCACCTCACACTACCTACCTGCCACTACTCCTAATTGTAGGCACACGGAACCCCCTAGCAGCCAGAACCGTGTTCACGAGAGCATATGTGCTCCCGATCTCCAGGTGGCCGATACCGGCGTAACTCAGTTGGTAAGGCTCGCAAGTGGCATTCAGGATTTCGTGGGTTCAATCCCTATTGCCCTCATGTACCTTCCTAGGCATGCTTGGCGCCCGGCACCTAGCTATAGACCACTGGATCCCCCGATCGGCATTGAGGGCAGAGTCTGCTGATGTTCGTAGGGGAGGGGACCACCACCTGAGGGGAGGCACAGGGATTGGTCCAGTTGGCATGGTCCCTGATGCTACCGGCTGTCCCCTAGCCGGTATTGCCCCCTCCTTTTAAACGAACAGTGAAAAAAGGAGGTTTCTTGCGTCACCGAAAAAAAGGGGTTGGAGAATTGGGCTCCACCACTAGCCTAATAATGTGAAAGAGGGTGCAAAACGTGGTGAGTGGCGGAGCGAGGCCCTGAAGCCCATTTTGGGGCCCAAGAGCTTCTATTGCCAATCCAGTTCCTGATCATAATCTCCTGGCTGAGTCCTTCCAAATGCGCAGCAGTCAATTCAATCAAGCAGAAGGCCACCAGGAGCTTCGCCGAACTTCGCCGAACTTCGCCAGTCGTCAGACTTGGCCAGTTTCGGCAGGGGGATTGTGTCGGGTCGCCCACGTCAAATGGGGAGCGGACGTATGTTCAGGTAGACAGCGGAGAGATACAGTGGCCAACGGTTTTGTGCTTCGCATACTTCTCGAGTGCTGAAGCGAGCTCGTGTAACTCACGACGGACTTGCAGCGATGTCGGCTATGTTTTTCTCTGGCGATTGGTGTTGTTGGGGGCCATAGAGGAGTGAGATGCAGAAGAATGGACCGGCCCACCTGCCCGCCCGCCCGCCTGCCCGGCAGAGTAGTCTAAGTCCTGCGTGATGTACGTTGGCCAGCTGCATGGCAGGCATGTGATCACCGAGTGGAGGACACTTTTTCGGAATTGACTGGGAAGCGGCAAAAGGCATGCAGATCGAGGGAGAGAGAGAGAGGGAGGGAGGGAGAAGGCAGGGAGGAAGAGAGCGAGGGAGAGAGGAAGGAGAGAGGAGGGAGGGAGGAGGGAGGGAGATGGGAGGTGGAGAAGGGCCTACGTAGGAAGCGTGCCTGAATTTCATCCAAGCACCAGGAAAAGGGGGGAGAAGAAGAAGGAGAAGGAGACGGAGAAGGAAAAGGAGGTGATCGCCTCGTGAGTGTGGGTAAGTGTCTGTCCTTCCTGCCTGCCCTGGCCGGTGTGGAGGTGGTTGCGTGTGTTCTTGTGCGTCTTCCGTTTCTTGCCCGGCCAGCCGGGAAAAGGGGGTGATGTGTTTTTGCGGATACGAAAAGGGAAGAAGTTCGATGGAATAGGAGTGTGGACGGGATCGCATTCGGTCTGTCGTACCGTCTAGATTCAGATCTGCTGGTTGTTGGTCTTGTCCTTAAGTGTGTCTGGAGCATCAAAATGTTGTGATGGAGTGAGAAATAGCTTGAATTCTTTCTCAGTGCTAATCAATTGTTGCAGTCTTAACTGGTTCGATTCCGAATACCGTGTCCTGTCCCGTCCCGTCCCGTCCCGTCCCGTCCCGTCCCGTCCCGTCCCGTCCCTTCCCTTACCGTGTCCCGTTCCGTTCCGTTCCGTTCCGTTCCGTCCCGTCCTATATACGACGTACATAAAAAGAAAGGAAATACATTTCGCATGATTATTGTGAGCTATCGTTATCCAAAGACGATTACTATTATATTGCTTAGCTGATGGGGGAAAGAAAAAGAAATCAATAGATCCAAGGACTCACTTGTAACGCGCCCTAAGAAACTGATAAGAACACATCAATCATCAATGTTGGTAGTCGAACAAATTAGAGTTCTTTTTTTTTTTTTTCTACGAAAAAAAATCAATGCGAAGTGAAGATGAGATGAAACATGTACGAATCAGGGCGAAGACGACGTTAAGATTCTTCGCTGCGTACGTCCGTGTGCAGGTGGTGGAATGAATGCCCTTAAACTCTGTGGGCGTGTTTTTTCTTTTTTTTTCTTTTTTTTTTCCCTTCTTTTTTCCGGAAAGCACTTATGTTATCCCAATTCAATACCTCTGTGGTATGTTGCGAAAAGCCGTGACAAATAGCGGTGGGGAATTATGACATCAGGCGTCTTTTCCAACACACACACACACACACACACACACACACACACACACACACACACACACACACACACACACNACAAATAGCGGTGGGGAATTATGACATCAGGCGTCCTTTCCAACTCTCTCACACACACACACACACACACACACACACACACACACACACACACATACACACACACACACACACACATACACACACACGCGCGCACACACAGAAAACACACACACACACACACACACATGTACATCGACACACATAGAAACATATATACACGCATACACACACATATACGGACAGTGTCACGTGGACACACACACACACACACACACACACACACACACACACACACACACACACACACACACACACACATATGATCAGTCTGTGGAAGTTCAATGAAACAGTCTGGCACAATCATGCTTTCTGTTTTTTTTCTGTGGCGTTGTGTTTAGCGAACATGAACACACACACACTTACACACACACACACATACACACATACACACATACACACAACACAACCTGGCGTGAAAAAGAATCCATGAGTCCTTTTTTTTTGGGTGGGGAAAGGGGTTAATCAAACAGCTCCCATCTATTCGTATGGAGCATCCCGTGCTGGGAAACTGGCCCAGAATCCCATTGATTCTAATACGAACAAGTTGATCAGGAGAAAAGATTGAATGGCTGTACCACACCACACCGGCACAGACTCGGGCAGTGTCTGCCCGCAGCAAATCAACAGAGTTTTTTTTTTTTTCGGTCCTCGTTCTCTCAACTGTCTTTTCTCTTGTCCTCGTGTTCGTAGATAAAAGAATGCTAAATAATTAGTCGTAGGCACTCAAGTGTCTCTCTTTCCTCGAAAGTAATGACAATGACTTCACTTCAAGCACGAGTACGTTCTCAAAATTCTGCAATGCTATGATCATTTACGTTGTTTATTAGACCATGAAGATCTTATCTATGTACTGGAGATAAGTCAGATTATCTTCAAACAGCGGTGGAAATACGTATAGAATACCTTCAGATTTTGTGATTCGGTGGAGCCTCCGCGCGCGGATGTCAATCTGTACGTGCGTGCACGTGCTCGATAAAATCTGTGCACGCCCACGTCTTGTTGTTCATAAGATGACGAAGAAATGTATCACGTGTCTTGTGCACCCGTGTGTTGTGTGTGTGTGTGTGTGTGTGTGTGTGTGTGTGTGTGTGTGTGTGTGTGTG